CTGTTTATATGGGATTACTTTGGATTGGCTCTTATAGTCAATCATACACTGATAAGATCTCCTCAATTGTCATGTACCGCTTCAATTCTGTAGTAGTGTGGAACATCTTTGCTACTAGGAGTGCTTTCTCATATGTCTGTAAAGATGTCTTGTCCATCAATCAACAAAGTTCTGTTATTTATTGTGTTAAGTGTCAGTGTGAGGCTGACTATGTGGGTAAGACTATCCAACAGTTGCCTGGCTTTATATGTAGACATTCTTCATTAGCATCTGGACATTCACAGGTGCATGAGTCTGTCATCGGAGAGCATTTATTGAATTTTGTCACTTGTGAATTCTTCTTTGTTCTGCACAGGGCTTGGATGAAACACCATCTTAGCATCTTGGAGGTGATTGTTATCAACACGTCTCGTCTGACTCTGTATAGGCAGAGGAAGCTGAAACATAAACTGGCACACTCTGGCTTGTTCTGGGCAACTTCAAAATGTATTTTTGCTTCACTTTGCCATTGTTTCTTAATTCTATTGCAAGGACGTTTGATTCTTTCCAGTAGTTTTTCTTAATATTTTTTCTGATGAAGCATCAGACGAAAGGTACCTTAAAATTTCTACTTTTAATCATGACGATACCTTTGTATTTGATTTGTTGATTAATAAAATGTTCCCTGTTTTAAGAATTATATATATATATATATATATATATATATAATTAGATGGTGTAAAAAAACTAAAAATCTTTTCACACACACATATATGTGTGTGTGTGTACGTGTATATATATATATATATATATATGATGGACTCTCCTGTCGAGTTTGACATATGAGGTTCTGACGACCACAAACTATTTATCTGCATGCCTATAACGGGCATGACTTTTGAGACGGGCTCTAGAATTGCACAAAAGACCACAAATAGTACAGGAGAATGTATTATATCCATGTGCAGCAGGAACACTGTTAGCTATCTTATTTTGCTTTCTCGTTTCATGTAGTCGATTGATGCTTACTTCTCAGTGCGGCTATATCAATGTTGTACTTCTTTAGCTCCAATGCGACTAGAGCTGTTTTTCTTTCTGGTGCTGAGTTGTTGTCCTGAAGAGTTTGTACATTCCAAGTGCCAAGATGAAGTTGATGTTGTTTTGCAAAGATTTTCGCAGTATCTGGATATGTGTGGAACTAATTAGATGTAGTTGTCAAAAAACCAACACAGTGATTTGTTTCAAGTGGTGAAGGCTTGTGTCGGACAATCCACACTTTTTGAATCTGTTGATAAAAAAGTAACGGTGCAAAAGACTTGCCACGGAAACTCCGAAGGACAGTCCTCATTTGTTATTATCACGGAGTTTAACCTCTCCAGATCACAGTCAATACCAGCCAGTACATGCCTCTTGGCTGACACATGCAATATAATGACTAGGTTAAGCCGTCATGAGTTTTCCTTCCCATCTGAAGTCTTTTTATCATGAAACAAACACTAAAAGGTTTGTTAACCAAAGCTCAGAGAGGCTACTTTCACTCTCATCAAGGGCAGCTAGTCTGCACCAACAGATACTTTACATAGCTCTGCAGTATTTTATACTGGATGTTGGAGTAAACAGATTGCCATCAATATGCGAATATATATATATATATATATATATATAATTTGTGTGTGTGTGCAAAAAATATGATTTCTGTTTGAATTTTGGGGATGAGAAATTTTCTTTAATTTACACCTGGACTATTGTCTTCATCATTATTGTTATTATCACAACAATGTTTCAGCCAGAGGGCATAATGGCCAAAATTTAATGATAACAACAGTTAAGATGTGGACAGCTGTTATTAGTCTGAAGATGTATTTTCTGAGAATGAAACATGTCACTAAGGAGCTATAAAAAAGCCAAAAGGAAAACTTAGGTAACACATTTTGTCTTCTGATGGACTTTATCAAGGCAAATGTAAGGATATTATTAGCAAAAAGTATTTATAAACAAAAGTAAAAATGCTGATAGATTTTCAGATTTTTTAAAATTTTAGAACACTCATAAATATACATCAGGCTAACTGAAAGTCAAGGTAAATCAGGGAGGAAGCTAATTTAATTTAATGCCTAATAAACAAAAGTGAGTAAATACTGTTGTTGCTCAATTTTTTTATAAAAAAATTATTTATATTATTTAGTTTGGGTTTAATTTATGTACTGTATATTTTAAATAATAGGTTTTGAATTTAACTGTTTTCTTTTAATTTCAAAATTTTTTATAGTTAGGAGTAATTCTTTCAGAAAAGGAGAAATTTGAGGCACAGATTTATATTTTGCTAAGATTTCATAGCAGCACTTGCAAGAATTTTCAAGCTAAGTTACTTTCTCATATATATATATATATATATATATATATATATATATATATATATATATATATATGTGTGTGCTTTTACAAATTACAATAGAAAATCAAATTAGTTATTTTTGATAGAATTATTTCAAGTTTTTAAAACTTTTAAAGTTCTGATTATTTTAAGCACTTTGGACTCCAACGATAGCTTTTAGCCTAAATCTATCAAAACTAATTAAGCAGTTTTGCAATGTTAGTTTAATACAGAGGCAGACAGCATTATATATTTAATGGTCTAGATTGAGAATAAAACCAACTTGTCACCAGCTAATTATATCATAATTTCCTCTCTTATGTTTTTTCTTATTCCACATGAACTGACAGTAAACTGACTTTGAAAGCAGTTTTTTTTTAAATCTCTATATGTTATTCTATTGATAAATTTTTTTTGGAATTTGAATACTATATAAAACTATATATATATATATATATATATATATATATATATATATATATTATTTACCTAACTTAACCTCTTGGTACTACTCCTTATGAGATATAATTTTGGAAATCTACAACTTTATAGTCGTATTGGGTTGGAAACAAAGTCCTTGCACAACTTTTTATATATGTTTAACCTTTAGCGCACTCTATGTATATAGGTGACTTGAGTTGTCAAACAAAATGTTTGTACAGCCACTGCATGCAACTGATTGTCAGACAATAGTGTGGTTGAATTTTTCACTAGTGTTGTCATATCCTGCTATGGCAACAGGAAAGTGACTAACTGAAAATTGAAGATGATGCTACTGCAGTGTGTGATAACTTATACCCAATGGATGAGGATGAAAAACATATGAATATTGCAGAGTGCTAAAGATTAATAGAAGTTGTGCGAGAACTTTGCTTCCAAACTAATAGATTTCCAATGCCTGTGACCATGTAATGGGTATTATAAAAGTGGTGTATTGAAATACAATGCTAAGCAATTGCTGGTACATTCAAGGCACTCCCTGAACTGTAAAAGTGTGGAACTTGCAGATGCATTTGGATGTTTAATGTAACAACTATTACAAATGATACTCAGTGTTTTCGATACATCACTGATGAGGCAGATTTTTTCCCTGCAGTAGGTTGCCATTTCTTTCCGTGGTAGACTAGCTGCCATCCTGGTCTGTCCTGCCATTTACCCATAGCTGAAGGAAGACAAAGAGGATTCATACCTTTCCCAAGGGTATTAGTATGTAAGTGAATATAATGGATTTGACTGGAATTTGAACTCAGCTCTCTGATTTCTCAATCTGAGCCACTATCCATTACTCTACCGTGCCTCCCAAAGTAAGACCATAGCTGAACTAAAAAGCCACATCCATCCATATTTGAGGATGGATCAAGCAATGACATTGCTTGAAACTGAGTCGCAGCTTTCAAAGCCACATTGTGTGAGCTTCAAAAATTTTTACGACTTAGTTGAATTGCACATTCCTATCATATACAGTCAACAAACTTCTAATTTGTGTGTGTACATGATCTGTATGTATGAATTAATTTAACCAGATTTTAAGCAGTGTGTTTGGTAAAAAGTATTACTTTACTAAAAAAAAAAAAAAAAGACCCTGTTAAACCCTTTCCCTCCTGAAATATCTTGAAATTTTTATTGTTCAGTTCCACTTCTGTTCCTTATTAAATCACTACTTTGCCTATTCCTTTAAATTTACTTTGGTAGTGTTCATATTTTCTACATGAGTAAGCTAGGATTTCTTCCATCTATACAATTAATTCTATCGTTACATGTTTTAAATCTTTAAAAGTAAAAATCTACAAAGAAAGCTGATATGAAATAACAGAAATAAAAAAAGAATGTATTTGTAACATGATCCCCACTATATACACGGCATTAAATAACCCATTGAGGTTGATATGTCATAAAACAAACCAAACCAAACCCACTACATACTAATGAGATATTCTGTTGTCATAGTAACACAAACAATATTTGCTTCTTGGCACTGAGTAATGCCTCTGGGTTAAAAAATGGAATGTCTTATTATTAAGAAAGGAAGAGCAAGGCTGTGTGATTGATAAATATACAAAGTCACATCGTGTTTTTGATTATAAAATAGATTAAATTTAGATACTTCTGTATGTAAGGGTAATTGAAATATTTTATATTAATTCAAAAGTGAAAAATTTATGTATACAAGGGGATGATGAAATAGTAAAAATTCTTTACAAAATATACCTCTTAAAATCTGGCTAAGTGAATTCATATATACATATACAAGTGAGTACTGGAAATTCACACTTCAATTATACACACAAAGTTAGTATTACAAATTTGTTAAATGTACATGCTGGAGTTATACTATTCAAATAAGTTATAAAGATTTTTGATTGGTTGGTTGGTTGATTTGTTTAGCAACATATTAACTGCTATGGGATATTTAATGTTGAAATCTAAATATTTTGTATGTAATTTTATTTATTTTTTAGAAATAATAATGTTTTAGTGATACAAGTCATACTAATTAACCCATAGCTGGGGAGAGAAGAGGTGGATTCATACCTTTTTCTAAGGGAGCTTGCACATAAGTAAATATAACGAACCCAACTGAAATTGGAACTCAGCTCTCTGATTTCCAATTCTGAGCCATTATCCCTTACAGTAAACACAATCCAAGCTTACAGCACCTGGTATTCCCAAGTTGTCACTCATCTAGGTACTGATCTGGCTTGATGTTGCTTAACTTGGGTGATCATATGAGATCTGGTGTTTGAACCTGATGCAGCCACAAGCTGAAGCTCATACAATGATATATACACACATGATGATAACTGCGACTCAGTTTCAAGCAATGTGTTCACTTGACCCGCCGTCAGATATTGGCAGCATGAATGAAGCTTTTTAGTTCTGCTATGATCTTACATTCTATTGCACAAATGTGGTAATGTTGGGTGTCTTTTGCAACAGTTGTTGCATTAATATTTTTGGTGAATATTAAAATGTTATCTCGGTACACCAACTGAGGCACATTCTCTCTGCAAGTAGAAAATGAGTATAACATGTAGCGAATGGCTTCTTTCTGTGTGTGGCGCCTTTAATGATTTTTGAGGCCTGCCCTACTTAGACAGATGCAACCACATTCGTTACATGATAGATCAAATTCTGTGGCAACATCTTCAGGGAAATTAACTTCAAGAGCCTTATGAACATCTCTCTTGAGTTTTTCATATATATATATATATATATATATATATATATATATATAAGAAGTAGATAGAGAAATAACATAGCCTGATATAAATTATTCCTGTGCATGTAAGAACAATATAAATATTTCCTTTTAACCAGAAAATAATTATGAGTTTAATATTTTTGATCATAATAAATTATTTTTATCATGTTCATGATCTTCTGTGTGTGTGTGTGTGTGTACACAAAGTGAATTTTAATTTTGTAATGAACCAATATTTACTGAAACCAAAGAATAGATATGAGCATACATAACCGAAAGTGATATAGAAAGAGGTGTGTCTCTCAAACAAATACTTTAAAGTTGAATTTCAGAATTGGAAAAAAATAAATAAATGCGAGCATGCAATGAGTGAGTGAATATGCCAAAATTAAGTTCGATGCCCCACCCCCTGGGCATCTCATCAAAAAAAAAAAAAAAATTTGGGGAGGAAATATGTACAGGCATGCTATATGGAAATGTCTACCAAGACAGGATATGAGAATTATGAACATAGGGTGTTGGCTGGTTGATGGCGGTGATGAGGGCTAAAAAGTTGAAGAAAGAAGAGACCTAATGTAAGATCATTTCTCTGACTGCCTGAAGCCACAGGTGGCGCCGAACAGAGGTTGGTGAAGAAGAAGAAAAGAGAGAAAACCAAATGAAAACTGAATGTTGTAATGTGATATTCACAATGTGTGTGTGTGTGTGTGTAAAAGCATGTACATGGTTATGGGAAAACAGGAGAGAGAGAGAAAGCAAGATGGAGATTGAAGTTATAGTGTGAGTACAGAATTTTAAAACTTTGTTAAAAAATACAATAAAACCATCAGAAATTTCACAGCCATTGTTATGACTGTTCATTTATCAATCTCTATATAGTGATATCTGTCTAGGATGAGGAGTTATCATTATTTACATTTGGGTTATTGTCCTCATCTTTGTTGTTGTTGTCATAAGGTTTCGGACATTGTGCCCTCTGGCCTTCATCAGGTGTATATTGATCTGGGTAACTTACAGGGAATTTCAAACTGAACCCTTTATTTAATCTACAGGGGTAGATTGTGTTTTGGAATATCTCATCTAGTTCTTATTTTAGTACTGTTCAGTTATTGCTCACCCTGTTTCTGCTAAGTTGAAACACACAATGCTCGGCCCAGTTCAATCTTGTAATAACAACAAGAAAGATGAAGATAACATTCTGAATTCTACAAACAGTGTAAATAATGATAATGTCTCATCCTTGAAATTCAGACAAAAATTGTCTTTTTCTTCTTTGCTTTATTTAATCTACATGGCAATGGGGCAGTAGATTATTCTTGTTCCTGATGAATATACTGCACAGTTATTGTGTGCCTCTAACTTATAAAATCAAACATCACCCTCTTACTCTTCTTATCTGACAAAAAACTGCATCGAAGCTTACAGCTCCTGTTAGACTAACAATAATGATATAATCAAGATGAGTTTAAACATTACCTTTTCTTTTAATCAGGTATCGATATCATATTTTATAGGAACATTTACTCAGCCAAAACAGTGTATTGGCAGTTATGTGAATATTGACAGAACCAGTGCAAGGGTCTCATACCACTCCCAATCTATAATACAGGTCCCCCACCCACTATACTACATCTCAATTTTCATAAGGTAGAATTCATATAAAATAGAAATTTTATTGTAACCTAATTATGTACAATAATGGATCATAAGCAATATAGGTGAACAATTCAAGTAGAAAAATTGAAAACAAATACAATATATCTAAATACAAATTAGAGACATGTCATAATAGATCATTCCATCTTAAATAAATTGGCAATGCTTTATGGCAATTTTTAACATCAACTTGAGATTTTTCTTGTTAAAAAAGTGAATAATTTTAGCACATTCAACATTATGGATAAAAAATAGTGAATATTATAGGTTTTTTTTTCTTTTTGAGAATTAGGATGAGCAAAACAAATTCACAGATTTGTATAAAAGAAAAACAAACAAAAAAAAACCCAGAATGACATTAAAATCCACCAAAATTTTTCATCTTTTAATAGTCAGTTGTGATTAGTTTAATTTCTAATGTATATAAATGTAGGTAGAAAAAAAAGCAAATGTTGATAAGATAGCAAGGATCACAAAGTACTATCTGGGGCACTCAATCAGCATCCCCCCACTGACCCCATCAGGGTGTTCAGGAATAGTATGCACCGATCATGCATATTAACATGCATCAGCATATTTTTTGCCATCAAGTCTGTTATAAAGTTTGTATAATGCCCATCTTTGCTGGTTAGTAAGAAAAACTCTAAAAACAAAAGGTTAAGTGAGAAAGGGTTTAATCACATGAGAACCTGTACTTAGAATACAGTAGTTCAATGCAGCAAGAGTACGACTGGAAAGTGCTATGCCTTTGCAACCCACTTTTTGCCACAGATCCATGAACAGACGTTCTACACATGGTGGATGGATGAGTTCATGTTTCAATAATATGTGTTATGATCCAGAATGATGATGATATTTCCTCACCCTAAAATAACCTTGCCACCAGTGATGAAAGAGAGAGATATTCCGTCATTCTAAAATCTGAACCTTCATCATTATAAAAACAACCGTTCCACCACAAGTAAAGTACAGTCAGATCAGGATAGTAGAATATAGTAGCAAGTAGCAGTAGTAAACAGGAACACAACAGATATGTATCACCCTTGCTCTGGAAAATCGAAAATTGAGAGTCTCAAACACTACCCTAAATAACAAAATTCTCTTGGAACAGGCAAAAACAAGTAGGCACAAACTTTTAAAGAAATAAAAGAGACAGTAACACTGAGGACATTTTTAACACACACTATACCAATATTTGTAATTCACATCATAAAAAGAAAAAATACACATTCTTGTCATTAATGCCAACATGTGTCTTCAAGTCTTATTGTATTGTTGTTATCATTGTACGTTTTTATTCATTTTGTTTTCGGTAAAAAAAAGAGAAAAGGAATACTCTTACAACTACACATAACAATGGGGTAACTTAAATTAATAGAACCTCAACATCAGGATAACAGTTACCTTGCCCAATAGTGAACTAAAACTGGAAGGTAATGCAAATTCAGCAGCTTCAAGTATTTTATAAAATGAAACCCATTTAGGTACTAAATGACATCCTCAAAGAAAAAGAAATTGATACAAAAAAAGACTTTATTTATGTCTAATGTATTTTTATGATTCTAAAAGATATGTAAAATACCCAGCAAGACAGGAGAATAAAAACCAAATACCTTGACAGAAAATACAGATGACAGATGAAAAAATTTGTTCAAATTCTTTGAACTTTTCAGGTAACACTTTGCAGATACATTATTGATATGAACCTCATCAGATCAAGACTTTCGTAGGGATGCCATTATGGTGCCAGATGCATTGAGAAATATCTAAACTGTCAGCCATATACAATGCTTTTCTCGGTCAATGGTTAAAAATGATTTCGATGAAATGAAGCCTGTAGGTCTTAGCAAGAACTATCCTTCTTCAAATTTCATGGGCTGGCACCACAGAATCAGAAAGAATTGTATCAAAATGCAGAAACATCACCACTTGAGGACTTTTAAACACAGCAACAACTAAAATGAATAGCTCATGTAACTCAAAGAGAATATCAACAACCAAGATGTTGATATTCCACACTACTTCTAACAAAAGGTTTGGAAGGAAACCTCCATCAATACTGGAAAGAGCAATAAGAGTTACTGGACTTAAGAAACCAGTTTTTCTGAAAAAAAATGAAAAGGGAAAGATTTTATAAATTTCAACTGAAAGTAACCAGTGGCACTCAATGAATGTTGAATATTTCCTTATAAGGAAATGACTAATATTACGATTGTCATAGATTAATAATGATTTTTTTTTTGGAGATAACATTGATGAAACAAAACTTATCTGCTTTATGAGCATCCTCATTTCATATAAATATATATTTCAGAACTGAAAAATTCCACTCAAAATTCTTTCAATATAACTGATGGACAAAGATTATTTAATGATAGTCATTTTGTTTTTCATATTTTCAGACAGCTCTCCAAAATATGTTTTATAATTGAAATTACCCTGACAGCACTAAAATATCAGTGACCATTTTCATGAAATATATAAAAATGAACTAATATGAAAAGAGAAACAACAGCTATCAGCTGGAAAATTTGGAAATAAGTGACACTCTTATCAATAACAAGCTATTTACCTGATTTCCCCACTAAGGCAGGATGTGATACAAGGTCATTTTTTATGTAGGCACCCATACACATACATACCACTGTCATGCTGACATTGATATTACATCACTCACCTCTCTTTGTGCAATGAGGAGGGTACTGCCATAGGTTTGAAATCCCCTGGGCCAGATGCGTTCTCCCATCTCAAAATGAAAAGAGAACAAATACCATGCTTTCATCCCAACCAAAAGGCAGAGTAGTGATTATTTGCATGACCTCCCCACTAAGGCAGGATTTGACACAAAGACATTTTTAAGGTTATGAGCACATACATATGAATATGCATAAGAGCCAAGGAC